TTTCTTTCTTCAAATCAGTTCTTTTAATGGAAATATAATTTGTTGAACGTTGTATTATTTTTAAGAATTACCAAAAACTTCTGTGATAAGATACATAAATTAAGCAACAATATTAACAATTGCAGAAAATACAACTATCTTGTCAGTTACGGATCGACAGGTAACGTAAAACTACAAAAATGCAATAACCAAACTGCACAAGAAAAACATTAAAATACGAATACCTTGTCGTGTGTTCTTTATTTTAGAATTGTTATTTGTTGTCAAGTCGAATGTCGGGGATCCTATTTGCGCGGTGTCCAGTCCACGCTTTCCCCACCACGTCTATTTGCCTCGCCGCCGCTCCTAAATCATAGCAGTCTCGTATCTGTAAACACCCTCGCTTTTCTTATTTGCACCGGTTGAATTCCTTGTAATAATACTTCAAGCAGAAATTCCACGAAGGAAAACATATTATTATTATTATTCATATTTTATTATTATTATTAATTATTTATTATTATTATTTTTATTATTTATTTTTATTATTATTATTTTATTATTATTATTATTATTACTTATTATTATTATTATTTTATTATTATTATTATTTTATTATTATTATTTATTTTATTATTATTATTTATTTTTTATTATTATTATATTAATTATTTTTTATTATTATTAATTATTAATTATTTTATTTATTGCTTTTTTCCCCCCTGTTACTTCAACACAAGCATTCTACGCCGGCAGAAAAAAGAAATAATGGAAGAAACAAAAGATGAATTCGCTGCAAACTAGTGTCGGAAGTCTCAAATGAGGAAGAGGTGAATACTTAAAAGTGATAATCCCAAACTGATCATGTTCGCGTGGTGAAGGACTATCTCCAATTTGTTGATGACTGAAAACGAATTCTGAATCGCTAATTGTGAAAAATTAATTATGGAAATACTGATAGCACACTCGTACGAGACTGACAGGCGGGGAGGGCGCGGATATGTTGTCTCTAATTGTCTTTAGCCAGTGTCTGTAACCGAATTGCCTTAACGTTGGGCTGCCGTGAAGTCACGGAGGTTTAAAAATTAGAGACTCTTACCTGGTTAGGTCAACTGCGTAGGAACTCTGGCGTCTAACAGCACGAGACCCTGCGAAGGATAAAAAGGCGATGACTGACTACGGCCGGCGAGGTTACAGGAGGATTACTCCCACCGTTCGAAGCAATCGAATTGTCAGAGAATTTAGTTCGGAAAACGTAACCGAAATTTAGATAAAATAAAGTCTCGAAAGGCCGAGCTAAATAAATTCCATTGGAAGAGCGGAAATGTAGCTCAGCCCGTCTTGTTGCAGCTTGTGTGGCCGGCCGTCCGCAGGCACGCAAAACAGATGCGCACGGGAGGCGCTGCGTCAGGTAGCAGAGCCAACAATGCATTCAGCACGACTCTACAATGTGAGTATAGACTATGAATTGCCTTATTTACGCTGCGCGAGACTCGGGCCATCAGCGCCCGCTCTTCCGTCTGACAAGCAGGATTCGAATACACCAGATTCAATCAACTAGCAGAGACGGAGGCTATTTCTTGGCGAGAAAACAGGCGATTTGAATTTAGGCTCAGAGGCGTCATTTAGGCTTGAGGGATCTTTTACATGCAAGTAAGTCTGACTCATGGGACACAGCCGGCTTCTTACTTCCCCTCCGAAGGAAGGGCGTCGAAGGCATTTTTCGCCTTAAAAATCCCACGGCTTCGTTCGGGTTTGAAACCGGGTACCGGATCCGGGTACAAACAGGTCCGGTTAGCGCTAACCCGTTCGCAACCATCCCCGATCCCGCAAACTATTTAGCTATGCATATTTAATTTTGAATCTTTTAATGGCAGTATTAATTTTTAATTATTTTTTTTTATTATTTTATTATTTTATTAACCATATTTACCATAGTTTTTTTTAAATTGTTTACATGAAAAAATATGTTGCAAGATTTTCTTTTAGAGGCCAGGGGAATCCATTCTTGCTCTCCTCTTACTCGAGTGTATATGAATAAAAGAGCCACCAAGCGTTGTTTAAAGAAAATTGATTTCTTTTTTGTGTTTATAGAAACACTTGTTTTGCATTAGAAGACGAGACAGGACTCATCTCATCCTTTACGTTGGTGCGTCATGTGGTTGGTTTAACTTGGCTTTAGTTCATAAAGAGGCGTTAGTCAGAACTCCAACGGGCATTCCTCCTTATTTTAGTTCGGTCACTGTCATTACCATCTCTCTCTGCCACCACGTCTATTTGCCTCGCCGCTCCTAATCGATACAGTCTCGTATCTGTAAACACCCCTCGCTTTTCTTATTTGACCGGTTGAATTCCTTGTAATATACTTCAAGCAGAAATTCACGAAGGAAACTATTATTATTATTATTATTATTTTATTATTATTATTATTATTTTATTATTATTATTTTATTATTATTTTATTATTATTATTTTATTATTATTATTATTATTTTATTATTATTATTATTATTTTATTATTATTATT